TATTAGTTGATAGCAAAAACTGCCAACACAAATCAAGAAAAGCTGAGATTATATCTGATAATTAATTATGCAATGCTAATTTGTTTTAATCTCAAATACTTATTTTGATAGAAAAAAGTAGAAAAAAAAAATTTCTTTATAAAAAAAGAGCTCATTTAAAAAATTCATCGACGCAATTATTTAATCCGACAAAAATCAAAATAGGTATCGTCATAGGATTGGCGGGCATCAATCTTGAAGTGAAAATGGGCCATGATCGGCCGAGCAACCACTCCGACTAATTAGCAAAATACGATACGTACGATTTAAGTATATGCCGAAAGAACGAATGTTGAAAATTAAACTACATTAGGAGTTGAGAAAGGGACAGATCTCCACTATCAAACTGGCCTCAAATATCATTCGCTGAGAGCGCAAATTTAATAAAGTAACAAAGATCAGATTTTCAACATTATTTATGCCCCCCAAGCCCAAAAAAAAAAAAAAAACCACTCATGCCTAAAAGCAACACTGTCTATATGCTTGTCTACAAGGAGAGTTTATTAGGTGCGGAGTGCGGACGGGGAGAACAGACCGCACAAGCACTATTCCCATCTAGGTACTGGCACTCGGTACCGCTGGGTACCACTGGATACCGCTAGATACCCAGTGCTTGTGCGGACGGTGCACACTCCGCACCTAATAATTTTTCGTCTACAAGAGGATGAAATAAGACTTCTTTTAGGAATGGGGCTATCCCAAATAAAAAAATATTTAAGACTTCATAATCATGTAGTTCATCTTGATCTGTTGGTTTAGAGTTTTGACTATCAACTAATAGTTTTTAGATTCAATACTTATATATGTAATATGTGCATGAATTTATTTTAATTAACTATATGTTTCAAAAAAATAAAAAAAATATAAACCTTGGCTTAGGTTATAACTCTTTATGCGACTCAAATCTTAATAAAAAAATATTATTAAATAAAATTTTAAAAATTATTACATAAACATAAAATAATCTGAATCATAATCAGCTTCATAAAAAAAAAATTAAGGTGCAGGGCAGTCCCCCCTTGAGTGCCCCCACCCCATAAAACAACAACCAACAAAAATATTATTATTCTTTAGGCAATTTTGTTTCTTCATATATGCGTCCAGATATTTGCGGCAGTAGGAAATATAATTTATCGTCTTAGCGATTGTACGAAAAATCCGCATGCAATCAGATAAGAGAAGGTTCTTTAGCATTTATGAGACACCAAATTTTTACGTGGAAAACCCCTGTAAAAGGGGAAACCACGGGCCCTAGCCCAGTTTGACACGATCCACTAGTATTCGCAGTCGATACAAATGAAGGCCCTTTCCTTGTGAGAGCCTTAGCATTTGATGTACATCTTATGGAGTACATTTACATGATGTTAAATACAAGAGCTATTCTATCACGTATTATTTGTCGGAGGACTGAGTCTGCTAGCGACGGAGGTCGAAGGACTGTAGTCATGACGACCCGAAGATCAGTCAAGAACAGCGTCAGTTAGAAGTCCATCAATTGGAAGAAATGCATCTTCGCAAGACGATTCCAACGAAGTCCAGATACCGTAAATGCGCGTCGGTAGAAAAAACTTGGCGAAAGAGTGAAGTCCGACGTCGGTATAGCTGTCCGACGTCTTTTGTGGCAGAGGAGAACTCGGCTTCACTTGGCGGGTTCGGCAACAGGAGGGACTTGTGTAATTGGAGATCTTCAAACATCACGTGAAAGTCTGCAAAATCCAGCGTTTCCTGGAAAAATCCGCAGGTTCCGGGTCTCAGCGGCAGAAGACTCCGACGGTGGTCGGGAGGGAGATCTCCTTTCCCTTTCCTTTTTTTCTCTCTCTTCACTTGGGTCCCTTTGGTGTAAATGAGGCTCTATTTAGTTTTTCTGAGTTGCATAGTCCTAAATAGACGTGAGATAAGGGCGAATTGGAGTGGTTTGATATGACCGGCAGATATCGAATCCTTTGATTTCAACTGCACCGCTTTGTTGGACTATTGACAGGCCTTTGTGATGCGGAATTCGATTGATCTGAGCTGTTGATTCTTCTCCGGTCCAGCCGTTCATTCGAGTATAAAGCTCGTCAAAATCGATGGACGTTTTGGTAACTGCAAATCTGCGGTTTGAACTTCCAACAGCCTTTGAACCCTTGATCAACTCATTCGGGCTCGGATTGGTTGATCTTCGGTGTCGTTGGTTGTATTCCGAGACGGCTCAGTTGACGAGCTCTTGAATCGGAGATTCATATGCTCCCGAAATTAATTTTTGGAGTTTCTCGAACTTGAGTTTTTCTCGAGATCGTGCCCCAATCAAGATATTTTGATGACGTATCACATTATATTTTTAAATTTTTATTATAAATGTTTTTAACAATTGCCCTCCTAAAAATTTTTAAAAGACTAAATTTTATGCAATTGCTACATCAAATAGTAAAAAGAATTTATCATTTTATTTATTAATTTGAATTTTAAAAATGTCGGTATAATAAAATTTGTTCAGGGGGGCGCGATCCCTTTGAGCTCCTAACAGTTACTTATAAATTTACCCCATTGAAAATTAAGGTTTTTCTTCTCTGATTAAAAGATTTTAAATTTAATCTTATAATATGTGATATGTGTATGAATTTATGTTAATTAATTACATGCCCTTTAAAAACTCTTTATGCCAATCAAATCTCTATAAAATTTATTATTACTCAAAATTTTTAAAAATATTATATAAATGCAATCAGTTCACAAACCTCGCATTTTTTTTTTCGGAATGTCGTCACCAATCTCAACGCTGCAATTAGCAGTGTGCCATTTATTGCTTTGGTTGAAACGTTCAGGAAGCAACATTCAGTTAATTGTAATCATTTATCTGCCGTGAATTTTAACATCAAAATTAGTGAACTCTTTGAATAATTTTCTTATTTAGATGATAATTATAATTATTTTTGCTACATATTTTATTATTAATTTTACTTTTTATAAAAAAATTTAGGATGAAAAATTATTTTAATAATTAAAATGGATTAATATATGATAATTTTAAAAATACAATTATTTGATTTAAAAATATATATTTAATTTTAATATTTGTAGCGGCTTTTAAACTTTTATTTTTCATAACAACTTCACAATCATTTTTACATCCTAAATTTGTATTTTTCAACTTTACAAATATAAACAAAATAATAAGATTTTTTTTTTCAAATCATTCTTACAAAATTGAAATTAATTAAGACTTTTTTTCATCTGCTTAAGTTCATACTATATCACATAATCAAAACAAGCAGACTGTACAACAGCTGCATCACAATCACATTACCAAATAAAGCCCAGAACTGTATTGCGACAGCTTTACTCTAAAATACCAGAGTTTGGCAGCAAGGGCAAATCTGCAAAAAAAAAAAAAAATTGTGATGAAATTTTTTATTAATATAAAGATTAAATATTATAATTTTTTAGAAAAAAAAAATCTTTTTAAAATTCTTTTAACATTAATATCCTTACACTTTGACCGAAAATGATTCCCTATATGAGAATAGAGGCGATTCAAATATAAACCTTGCAATGATTAGCTTTTAAAGGCTAACCAAAAGCAGGTACCGCACTTCGACAACTATAATGGGCCAACTGGGTCTGTACCGTACACTCGACGGCCCACTATTCTATGCTCATCCACTATGTTTGTAGAGGTTCGGAGGGCCTACTTCTTATCCTAAGACCCCGGTCGTCTCTGAGATATGACCTGAAAGCTTTTTTATTTATGTATGACCTTATATATATCAATTTAATTTCAATAAAATTACTCCTTAAAATGGGAGAAAATAGCAACGGGTTCTGTATTTGTGGGGTTGGTTACTAATAAGCTCATCGAGTGATTAGTTACTCTGCAAAGCCCCTCCTATGAGAATAATTATTAGGTCTGGACACCTGACGTAACTCTACATCCAGACGCTAATAACATGTCGCCACGTGCTCTTACTCTTTACCGCGCGGCCCGACGACCCGGACTCGATATTGCTATGTATTTGGCTGATCTGTGCAGACCGGGGTATTAATTGCTTGGTATTGCTTGGTATTGCTCGGTAATAACGAGAAAAATATCAATCTATTAAGATCAATACCTAGCAATACCCCGATTTTGCTAGGTATTACTCGATATTGCTAGGTATTGGTTTTGAAAGAACGGTATTTCTCGTTATTGCCAAGCAATACCAAACAATACCTAGCAATATCGAGTAATATCTAGCAGTACCTGAACATAGCAATACCGGGTTCCGGACTGGGTCAGGTCGTCGGGCCACGCGGTAAAAAGTAAGAGCACGTGGTGACATGTTATTGGCGTCCGGATGTAGTGCTACGTCAGGTGTCCAGACCTAATAATTATTCCTCCTATGAGGGCAGCAGCCAGTAGATACTCATTCCAAAAAAAATCAAATAAAATATGAATACTCAATCTGCTTATTAATTTCATTCAAACATAAAATCAATCTACTTTTTCTTGGGAAATTTTCTCTTAGTTTGTTTCTAAACAGTTGCCAAAATTTTATTTTGTTTCATTTTTTTTATTTTTTAAGTATTAATATTTTGTTATTTTTTCACTATTTTTAATAATTTTTATACTAAAAAATTACTGTATAAGAAAATTACTCCAAAAAAGTCAAAAATATAAATAAATATATATATATGCATAGAGAGAGAGAGAGCGCTTGATTTTATTAATTAAAAAAAATATTTTGTCACAATAATTTAACAATGTTTTTTCATGAAATTTATTGCTCTAACTATATTTTAATGTTGCACTCTTTCAATAAATCTATAAAGTTTTAATTTTTCTATTTGAATGCGCCTAATTTAGATAAATTGATGAAAAAAATTCTGAAAAATATACATTTTTATATTAATTGATTTAGATAAATTGAAAAAAATTAAAAAATAAACCCATTTAAAAGATAAAGTATTGTTCTTTCAACAATCATCAAACTTTCAGTCAAATTGAGTGCCGTCCCCAGAGGCCAGAACACCCTCGCCATCACTGCATTCCTCTCCGCGAGAAATTGGAGCGATAAGTAGGAGAGAAAAATCGCATCCTAATTTTCGTGGCTGGGCGTTGATTTTAATAGTGCCCCCCCTTCTGCTATTCCAGCCTGCATCCTCCATTCCTTCTCGGACAGAGCAATCCGTAAGCTTTGCCCTGAGATACCCACAGAGGGAGAGAGAGAGAGACCTTCTTCCTCTGGCTTGTTGATGATGGAAGTCCAGGCAAAGGAGACGAAATCTTCCTCCAGGTTTAGAAGGATATGTGTATTCTGCGGGAGTAGCCCGGGGAAGAAACCAAGCTATCAGCTTGCAGCTGTTCAGCTCGGTCATGAATTGGTCAGTCTCTTCTTCTTCTTCTTCTTCCTCAAAAACTCCACTTTTATAAGTTTATTATGAAACTAGAGCTCCGGCCACATGGGAGTTTTCTCATCTCTCTGCTCCTCTCTTGCCTCCTCGAGCTCATTGCTCTGCGCTCGAGGAAGAGTGGAGGGAATGGCCATTTGATCTGAAATTTCGAAGACTAGATTGCTAAATGGTAGCAATAAATGATTAATTGCATTAGAAAAACGGATTACTCTGTTTTCCGGTTTGTATTTCTGCTCAAATTCACTCTGCTCTACTTGCAGGTGGAGAGGAACATAGACTTGGTCTACGGTGGTGGAAGTATAGGCCTTATGGGTTTAGTGTCACAGGCAGTGTTTAACGGCGGTCGCCATGTCCTCGGGTCTCTCTTTCTCTCTTAAGAACTTTGAAATATCTACTATTTCTTCTGCCAATAGAGTCCTCACTTCTCAGGTTTGTTCTGTGTTACTGTTGCAGGGTGATTCCCAAGACTCTCATGCCCAGAGAGGTACTCTACATTCTACCATTATGGGAGAAATTTTTTCTTATTAGATCATTATTTCTATAAAAAATGTTCATAAATTCTTTTTTTTTATGTAGAATACTTTTTTTTTTTTTTAATTTTCAGTCTCACGCAAATAAGCTCCCTATATATAATTATATATTCTGTTTAGGTTTTATTCGGTATCAATTTTGTGTAAAAAATAAAAAATAGTTTGGGACCTAGCCCTACTTTTACCATAAAAGGGTAAGCCTAGTAGATGCATGAACAGCCTATTTAGGCTAGGCAAAAGTTTCTCATGACCTCCTGCTATCTTATCACAGCCTTTTCCCAAGTGATTCTTCTTTCCTTAAAGTCTAATAGAACTGTAGAAGGCTTTTTATTTTATTTTTTGGGGTAATTTTAATGCATTCGTACTCTGATTTATTATATTAAATAAAATCATTTCTATTTTGGTAGAAATAGAGGAATTGAAGAGATGAACAGATAATATTGTTATATTGGGATTTTCTTTACATATTTTCATTGTAAATTTACGATGTCTCAGATTTTTTGAAATAAGAGAATTAACAAATTTTGTTGAGCTGTGTAGATAACTGGTGAGACCATAGGGGAGGTGAGAGCCGTATCTGGCATGCATCAAAGGAAGGCAGAGATGGCTCGGCACGCAGATGCCTTCATTGCCTTGCCTGGTAACCATCTTTGACTAAATTAAAACCAGGCTTTCTAGCTTCATTCAATATATTTTTTACTATAAATTATTGTAGAAAGCTATAACAAAATTATCTTAAACGAAGCCTAAATCTTGTTTTTATAAGCAAGATAAAACTTAGGCTTAGTTTGGGATGGCTTTTTTGTTGCTTCTTAAACCAGCTTTCAAAATTTAATTTTTGTATTAAAAACATGTTTTAAGAAAGGAAGAAAGAGCCGTCCCAAACGAAACTTTAGACTTATTTTTAGGCAAAATATTATTATAGCTATGGCTAAAATAGCTTATTTCTTGATATGCTATAGATGATTAGATGTTGAGATGGGCATTAAGTACTTGAAGTTCGGTATGAACTTTTTGGGATTTCCAATAAATTTAATCACAAATTCACTCATATAATTGACCAATTAATTAAGGTGGGCTACGTAGTTTTCATTTGAATATTCAAAAAAGTTTATATTTTCCCCAAACTTGTATATCTGATTCATCAGATGTGCCACTGAGCTGTTCTGTTGATCTCATAAATTTCGTTAATATATTTTGAAAAATTATTAGTGCTTAAATCCTTTCGGCACATTCCCAGCCTTTAATTATTGATGTCGGCTGAGGAAGGACACCCAATCATGCACTGTATGTTTCATAATAGTGCTACATAAATTTTCTTAATATAAATTTAATGTATAGCTGCTCTGATTTTTTGAATGCTGAGGCAGGCGGTTATGGAACTTTGGAAGAGCTACTGGAAGCTATCACTTGGGCTCAGCTAGGCATACATAACAAGCCAGTAATTCTCTTCTTCTTCTTTTTTCTTTTTTTAATTACTATTTATGTCACAGTCATTAACAGTTGGGTTTTGAATTAATTTATGATTAAGGTTGGTTTGTTGAACATTGATGGGTACTACAATTGCTTGCTATCCTTCATCGATAAGGCAGTGGAAGAGGGATTCATTGACCCGGCTGCCCGTAATATTATCATCTCTGCACAAACATCGCATGAGTTGCTGTCCAAGCTTGAGGTATGTACGTGGACAACTTAGCGTACAAGCTTGTATAAGAATTATTACATTGCTAGTATAAATTTGTAATATTTATTATTAGTATTATTATCATTATTAGTTTTTATTTTTATTTTTTTTTATAAATTTTGTATATATGTAATTTAAAAAAAAAATCTTCTAATGATTTTTAGCAGATAATTAAGTATTTGT